CCCTGAGGCTATCCGAGGACTCAACGAGCGTGACCAGACTAGGCTCAACCAGGTATCCGTATATAAGGTCCCGAATCTCTTGCGCTGCGATCTTCTCGAGAAGTCCGTGGCATACAAAACGACGTACTTCTTTGTTGTAGTTGTAAAAGCTGTACTTCTTCTTCAGTACTGCAATGGAGTTTTCGTACGGAAGGAATTTCGCGTGTCTCTTCCAGGCTTGCGCGGCGGCGTGTATATCAGGTCCGTAAGGAGTGTCAGCAAGGCGCTTCGATCCACGCAACAGCGCGTTGGCAATGAGAATCGCTCGTTTCTGTTTGCGAATTTCGATCTTGAGCTTCTTTCTGCAGGGCTCCGCATCAGACCAGTCCCTTTGAGCTATCAGCACAACATACGAAGATTTTGAAGATTCGCCTTACTTGTCAAGCATGTCACGAAATCGCTTGAGCGCCCCAGCCGACCGCACTGGATTCTCTGGGTGGGACGTCTCCATAGTCGAGAGATGTTGCTGTCTGAGTACACCAAGTTGCGCGCAAGGTGAACTCTGTGCAATATACATATTCAGACTCCTACTGGGGTGCGGCGCAACTTCGGAAATGACGAGTTGGCTCATCGATCGGGTTTCGTGGTAGCATCACGCTATACAACAAGAGACGTATCGCTTTCTTAGAAGCCTATATCACCTTGGGTTTTGGCTACTCCTTTTCTTCTATACTGATGCAGACAGCAGCGCACTTGTTTAGGATCCATCTTGCATAGGTAAGATGGCAACGTCGTCGCGATCGCTCAGTCTAGACGTGCAAGACATTGAGTAATACTGGCTCGAGTTGGTGAAAGCCGCGACATCAACCGTCGTGTCCGGGTTGCTCAAGTGCAGCTAGTAATTGTGTTTGGGTGATTGAACGCGTGGTCACGTGAACTGTCATCGCCAAGGATACTCCCATGATCGGCACTATGCGCAGCCGACACGAACGACATGGCACTTGGCTGGACGATCGCATTTTCCGCCGACGCAGGACGGCCTCAAGCGTGATTGTTGTCACCTTATTGATGGGGGACCGAAGAGAGCTCTGCGAGGATGTTGATGGATGGCTGGAGACATGCATGTGAAAGCCTCGGTCTCAAACTTTCAGGGGCGATGACGCCATCGCAGGGGAGTCGCACCCCATCGCGCCTGCACCACGCGTCTTTCAATAATTCTCACGACCTTACTTCACCACCATTACAGTTCATTGTCGCATTGATCAGACATTATTCATTGTTATGCTGTTTATCTAGCTTTTACTTTCTTCTATTGGGCCATCTAGATGGAGATCCACCTTCCCATCCAGGTATCCACGATTTGCTTCGCCTCGTCGACCAGACCCATGTCCAGCAGCAGTTGCGAAGTGCCGCGCACGGCGGAGTCAAGTGCTGAGAAGATCCAGGCGTGTGTGTAGCTGGTGTGCTCACCGATGAAGATGGTTTGGGCTTCGGTCTTGTAGTAGGCGGGGAGGAACAGGTCTTGTTGGCCAACGAATGGGGAAGCCCAAGCACCGGCTTGGTGCTCGTCGGTCTCCCAGCACTGGCGCTCGTATGCACCAGTCCACTGCTCGGAAGCCACATCGCCATGAATCTCCACCATCGCCCGCTGGACCATTGCTACGTGGTCTTCTTCGCTGAGCGCACCCACCGAGCGCGCTAGGGTACCAGAGATGTACGATCCAAGAATGACACCGGGTCCAGTTGAGTTGACCTTGTACGCCGGGTAGCAAACGCTGCCGATACCTGCGATATCGACTGAGCCACAGCCACCGATGATGGGCTCTGGGAGGTGTTCCCAGAAACGGGTCTTGTAGTGCAGAGAGACCTTGCAGGACTGCTGGTAGTTCATCTCGCTGATGGCGCGGGACAGAAGCGAGGAGTACTGGGGGAGATCCCAAAGCCTGACCTTGGAGAAAGGCACCGCAACGACTGCGTAGTCGTATTCCTCGCTCTCCGGCTCCATGGCGAAAGGATCTTGGCGCCATTGGACAGCGATCTTTCCGGTGCTCTCATCGTGCTTCAGGCCGGTTACCTTGCGCCCTAAAGTCAAACGGTCCTGGACGTGGGGGTAGAATGCACGAGGCAATGACTCTAGGCCCTTGTCAATCGTTCGCCAATCTGTGGCTTTGAAGTATACAGTGTCGTATTCCCAGATCGGAGCGTCGGCATTACCAGTGATGTAGTCCACAACATCATCGCTGGCGTTCAGCGCGTACTTGATGTACGCAGCCTCGGACCAATGGAAGAGACCCTTGTCGACGGCATTCTTGTGAGCCTTGAAGACATTGGTGGCGATCTCACGCTCAACTTCCGGTGTGTATCCAACGAATTCTTCGTATGCCTCCTCCGCCTTCTCCACAGCCTCCTCATCAGGGCCCTCGGCAGCTGGCAATGTGTAGGCTGTTGCGTTGCTCTTGATCTGCGCTGCGCTAGGGATCCGGCCGTTTGGCAGACGGTACCCATTCGAGTTAGCCGGCAGGTTTGGACTTGATTGGATCCAGTTGATGAAGTTGACGGCAAGATCGCTGGTGTTGCCTCCGTTCATCTGGTTCAGGACGTCTCCGAGCTGGAAAACCATCTTGTGGTCGTTGATTTCCAGTGTCTCGTTCTGGTCTGGGTAGGTGATGGAGACAGGGAATCGCATGGGCCCCATCTCCTGGTACTGGTATTGCTCGGGTGTGCTGCCTGCAAGGTACTTCGTCCGGATACGGCCGCCAATACGCTGCGAAGACTCATGGATGTGCCAATCGTGGATGCCTACAGAGTCGAGGAGAAGACTTGTCATCAACCCCGACATACCTCCACCAACAATGGCGATCTTTTTGCTCTTCTCGACTGCGGCGTATGATGCGTTGTTTTGCTTCGCCTCCATATAGGCTACACCGTCAAACCAAGGACCCATGGCGTCAGCCACGTCGGAGATCTCCTCTCGTTTCCTTGGTGGATGTTGGATCGAGATGGGCGCTGAGCGGCCAATCAAGTTAGAGCCTGAGTAGGCGTGAAGGCATCCGCCGTGGACAGCATCATCCGGTACGATCCAGACGAACCGCTCGGGACGACTTGATCGCTTGATGTAATGGGATGCCACGTCGTGGTGGCCATCGGCGTGGCTCTTCATGCCGCATTCGCCATACACCAGACGAATCTCGCCCTCGAAGTCATCGTCTCCATAGCCGACATGGACGTTGTGTACCGAGTTGGATGTGACAGCCAGGGGCTTGAAGAAGACAACCTCCGATCGAGGAGCAACTGGGCTGGCAATAGCACCACCAGCCAAAGATAGGGCAGCCGAAGAGGCTGTGAAAAGACCCTTCATCGTGGTGTAAAGAAGAGATGGATGTGATGAAGAGTGTGAGATGAAGGGAAAGATGCCCTGCTCATATACGGATCTACATGCTCGACCACAGCGGGCAGTATTGCACAAGCTTACACCTTCTTTCGCATTCTCGTTGGTCACGAAGCCTTATCGTCGTAGGGCGTGGCTATGATCATCGGAAGCTGTCGTTGCGACGGACCGTTTGCCGTTGGCCTAACAAAAACTCTTTGCATACGGCCGCGATAAGCACTACAAGGCGTCGCCATGCGCGACTTCTACAAGACTTTTCGTAAGATAGATGGGGTACGCGACACGCCCAAATGCCTGTTACAGTTGACCCGCAGTATACCCTCGAAGCGAGGTGCAGTAGCGCCATGCAGTACGGGTGATAGTGTGGAGACCCAGCTTACAGAAGAGATGGCATTGTGGACTGAGGTTCCTACCAGCGAGAAGATAGCCCACATCGGATAAGACAGGAGTCTCGGCTTAGCTACGACCGTCATTCCGAGCGATCTCGGCTCTGATACCAGCGCTGCGTATGCAACTTCACGATGCTACCTTGAACCATCCAATGCGGTCCTCCTCGACGCCAGACATCATGGACCGCCAGGCCGTTCGAACAAGAACGAAGGACACTACTCTCACAAAACATACCTCAAGATGAAGGCTACACACTCTATCGACTGCGTCGTTGCGAAGGTGACACAGAAGCGAGGTGCGTGCGATGATGTGCATGTTCGTCCAGCGCGACCCCACAACACACTGAACGCGTCCATGTGGGGCTGAGCTACCAGCATGAGTCGGACACAAGATATGCCAAAAACGTGGCATAGAACTTCGTCCGGGAACAATGTCAAAACTCCGCAGGGAAAGGCTTGTCCTTCACGGAGGGGATGTTCAGACAGGGGTCTAGTTCCTCTCGGCAAATGAGCGACAAGCCATGGATACCCCAGGTGGAGCCACGATTGCGATAACGCGCAACGGCTGGCCTAAACCCCGATTCTTATCTCAACACCCTGCAGCCTTTATCTCACGTTACGTCAGGACGAATGCGCGCTTCACAATGCGCGTTAAACGCAGGATACAAATGCAGAGATATCTCGGCGCCCAGGCGAACTACATCTTCGACGGCCCTTCTCGCGATAGCTTAGCTGACCTCTGCTCCACCTCGCCACAAGTGCTATCCTCCTTCCTTTTCTAGTGCGTGCTGGATATCTACGCGATTTTGAACCCCACGATGGCGCCGAAACGGTTGCGCGAGGCCCTGCCACCCTGAGTGTAGTGCAGGCAGTACAGTTCCTGGTGGACATTCCGGTACCTTGGAGCCGGCGGCGGACCGTTAACCATTACAAACGGGTCTGACTGTATCGCGGATCCTCAGCCGTGGCTCGAATCCAACAATACTGGCTGCATGTCGGAGTAACATTGGCAACGAGCTTTACCTGGTACATGGACACTCGCAGCTCTTGGAAGCCATGGCATTCGGTACAACGCGGGCGGTCAGACTTGACCGAACACGAAAGAGTCGGGAGATGATGATCCGCGAGCATTGCCAACTCTTATAAGACTGTATAGGGCCAACGATATCGGAATACTCACATCATCATACTCGTGCCTCTACGTCCACAACCTTACAGAAGTCAATTGCTGTAATCAGTTCATCATGGTCTCTCTCACCTCCATCGTCACCACTTTCCTCGCCGTTACTGGTGCCGTAGTTGCCAAGCCAACACCAAAGCTCGCTGAGCAACCGGTTGTGACCTATCTTGGTACCCAAGGACCCATTCTCTGTATGCTACCAGTCGATGTCTGATGACTACGTGCTAATTACTTTCAAGCGAGCGGTGCATGGACATCAAAGGGCATAGTCTACACCTCTGGAACCGTCCCTTCGTTCAATGGATCGATTGTAGCAGGCGGCATTGAGGCTCAAACAGTACATGAGCCTCGTTTAGTTTCATCAAGGGCTCATACTTACGCAATACAGGCCCAAGTCATCAAGAACATTGCAGTTATCCTCGAAGAAGCCGGCACGTCATGGGACTACGTTATGAAGACCACTGTCTTCCTGGCGAACATGTCGGACTACAGCGCGATGAATGAGGTGTATGCTGCCATGCTGCCCACTCCCAAGCCAGCCCGCACGGCTGTTGAGGTTGGCAAGCTACCGGGTAACTTCTTAATTGAGGTTGAGGCTATTGCTGCCATCCCGGACTCATGAGGCGGAACAGTTGTAAATAAGAGATAGAAACTAAAAGCAGTACCCAAAGCTGCATTGACAATGCAAAATCTTCCCAAGCGATACGAGTTAATCTTCATCGACCTTGCGCGAGAGAACTGGATGTGACTGTTCAAAATGGCGTCATTCATACCTCTCGAAGTCTGGCATCAAAATTATCGTACGATGCAGAACTGTGGAGGTGGAATGCTAATGGATTTGCTTTTGTTTATAGTGCGGAACTGGCTCCGCTCACCTATCGGTGAACCATGACGTTGAATGTGGGGTAGAACCACCACCATACTGTTGGAACAGCCCAACGTAGTACAAGACCAGCAGGCCCGATAGAATCGTACCTAGAACGACTGCAGCCTTTCCGCGATGCCTGAAATACATGACCACGATGGCAAACCCGTCCACCACCACATGGCACGAGTAAACGGCATCCGCCTGCACTACATCAAATCCGGATCCGGCCCACCCCTACTCCTCCTCCACGGCACACCCAAAACACACTACTACTGGTACCGCATCTTACCCCTACTAACCAAAAAGTTCACCATCATCGCCCCCGACCTGCGCGGGTTCGGCGCAACAGACAAGCCCCCCGCAAGCGAAGGCTACGATGGGCGCACCAACGCCAAAGACATGGCCGAACTCATGACGCAACTCGGGTACGAGAAATTCTCTGTCCATGGCGAAGACCGCGGCGCAACATATGCCTTCTGCCTCGCGGGCCTGTATCCCGAACGCGTAACCCACCTCTCCTTCTGCGAAATGCTGCTCTCTTACGCCCTTACCAAACAAACCTTCTTCACGCGCAAAAATATCGCAGCGCAGTATAACCAGGCCGGCGTGTGGAACTGGCATATCCCTTTCTTTTGGCTGCCGCATGTACCCGAGATGCTGATTCAGGGGAAGGAAGAAGAGTTCTGGACGCATTTTATGAAGGCTGAGTGTTATAATCCTAGTGCGCTGGATCAGGTGGCTGTGAATGAGTGGGTCAGGTGTTTGAAGGCACCTGGGGGACTTAGGGGTGTGTTGGAGAGTTATAGGGCGCATTGGGTTAATGTGGATGTTGAGGAGGAGATTTTGACTGGGGGGAAGTTGAGGTGTTGTGTTATGACTGTGGGGGCGCCGGAGTAAGTTTTACGATAAGGAGATGTGTCGATGCGGGTTGATACTGACGAGTCCAGGTTCTTTGGCCCGCTGGTCAAGGAGCAGATGGAGTCTGCTGCTGAAAAGGTGCATATTTCCGAGGTGTTCGAGGAATGCGGACATAGCTTGGCACTTGAGCAGCCTGAAAAGCTTGCCAATCTTTTGAAGAAGTTCATTCTTTAGACTCTATACGCTCCTCGCAGGCTACATTGAGCTAAAACTTTGCAAAGTATGTAACCTAACGTTAAAGTAGGCTCTAGGCTGTTTAGTCTTTTCCTAGGCTGGCGTGACTGGCCTGTGATCTACATATTCCTTTCCGTAGATTGAGTCTCTGGCCCGTGTGTTCTTTCCCTTCACATTCACATTGGATGACTGATCGCGACGCCGTTTCGAGAAAAGGACCCACTACTCGGTCCCTATATCTCAACTACCCTCCTCGACCTTTCTTCAACCACCTTTTCGACTCACCCGTTATTCAGCTATCGCCATGGATGTGCGCACTCCGCCCGTTGCGGAATTCTTCCTCGACCATGAATACGTTTCCCAGTAAGTTCCGTCCGGAGTCTACGAATCTAGCAGCTGCTAATAATTCCAGTACCCTCAAGCACATTCAGATTCTGAAACACATCGAGGTATCCGACCGAGCCAAGCTCAATCGCACAAGGCCTCATCAAAGGCGTAACAACATTAGGTCAAAGACCCGACAACGATTCCAGGATCTCAAGCAAAAGCTGGCCAAGATCACAGCAAAACTAGACCAGCTCGAGCAAGCTCTGCAGCAGTACTTGAAGGACTTTGTAACATACCGTCATGGAATTGTCTTGGAACTACTAGAAACAAAGTTTGCCCGAGAGCTTCGGGATGAGATTTACGGCTATATGATCGGCGATCAAATGGCGATCAGTATCAATCATCATGACCTGGTGGCGTCTGCCTCGCCAGCATTCGAGATTCCCGGTCACACGAGCGCAAGTCGTTCCAAGCACTTCCAGACGTCGCTCGAACGCAATGGCTACGGCCACTTACTCGAAGCGAGGGCAATACTCAGGGACACGATGCTGGAGCTAGCTCACGTATGGTACAGGCTCTCCACGTTTCGCTTCATGCAAGCCTCCCACGTCAATTTGTTTCTTGAGACCGACTTTCATGGCTTCGGCCTCGATACGCAGAAGCTGATCCGGAGTATCGAGGGTAAAGTAGCCGCCACGAACAGCTCTTAAGTTATTTTGCTAACTTCTTACTAGTATGTGGTCTCCTTGCTACGCTTTAGCTAAGGCAATTTAAAGACATCGCATTATCTGTGCTAACAGCTTGATAGCTGTTCACCCCTGTCAACTCGTCTGGAGATTGCATCAAACTAGCTAAAGACTTGGCCGAACTTCACACTCTCAAGACTGGTGCCAACATCTTGTTGAGCTTCCAGGCTTTGCCGACAGTGATGAGGGAAGTAGCAGATTCCAGCGCAGCAGTTCCGCCTCGTGATCTCGCACTCCTATTCCCGAGCATCCAGAAGCTGGTTACAGCCGAATACCGTGTCACGGTGAAGCTGGGCTACATCCTGAAATTCAAGGTTGTGAGCGAGGAGCTGACGGAAAAGTGTTGGAAGGAGAAAATTGAGAAGCATTACACAGTAAGTCCCTTCCTTGGTGTGCTGATAGTCGTTCGCTAAACTCGTCCCAGGTCATGCTTGCGAAACGCGCCCGCCGTGAATGAGCGGGCAGTGATGATTCTGATTCGTCTGACGAGTTTTATGAGTCTGCATTATAGACTACAGGGTGATGGAAGAGGAAAACGTGCAGGTGATAGCCTGTGTTGGAGATGACATGGCGATGCAAGGATGTGGCGGAGAAGATCGAAAGTCCCTGAGACGTTCCAGGCGTGGTCATCATGTTTCTTAGGTACACCTTAGTACCTTTGTATTCTCTAGATTAAGTTGTACGGTGACGGAAATGAATGCCAAGGTTTTGTCCAGGCTCTTACTACATCCGTCACTATCACGTTACTATCACAAGATTCACTGTCCATTGCCACCACCCGACCAAAAGAATAGACTGCGCCTTTGACTCAGACTGCGGTCTGGTTCTGATTCTGTTTCGGTGGATCGATTTAACCCAACCAAATCTCTCAGAACTTCAACCCCACCATCTAAGCCCCCCAAAAGCGAAAGCAACATGGCTTACACAATCGATCTGAATCGTGAAAGCGTGTACATGTAAGTCATCTCAAAAGCCTCATACAAGAATCTGAACAGGCGAGCTGCAGCATACATGGGGACAAAAATGAAAGTCGCGATAACCCTGAAGGCAATGTAGACACCTGGGTCATTGATGGAGTGGCTGTTCAGTGCTAATATGAGGACCAGCACACTCAGGAGATGCGCACTTATCGACCATGTTCTGAACAAGAACAGTCCACTACTCACGGCGTCCCAAATCGCAAATCTGGATCGTACGCAGTCAGAAACCGAAGACTTCGCCGATGCCCATATCGAACATTACGCGCAGCAGTCCTGTCGGGCATTGTGTACCGCCATGCAACATAAGCTTCCCCGCGAGCTCCGGGACATGATATACGACCACATCCTCTCACCTGCTCGAGATGAACCGGTTTTCATCAACAACGATTACTTCGATGACGTCGACGAGCCATACCGGGATATTATTGCGGGTTTCGCCGAGGAACGCGGATACGGATACGCGCATATATGTAGTGAGGAGTTTGTTGATCTGGACACTATGAGCGAGTTTGCACGTCGCTGGTATTATCATACTAAATTGTGGCTGTTCCTCACACCTGCGGAGGTCGCCGAGTTCTTCGAAACTGACATCTGGGGTCTCGGTCTGGAAAGCGATCGTCTATTGCGCCATCTCGAAGTCGAAGTGTGCGAAAAAGAAGACGAAGACAACGTCACTCCGCTCCAGCAGTGTCTCTTCAAGCTCGCGCCTGGCGCATCGATCGTTTTCCACCTGCGAGTAGATTACATTTATGGCCCAGGTGAGTACACGTATGACGAGGAATTCACCATGTGCCTGCTCTCGGAACGCATAAGCGCGCTATTTCCTCTGATGCTGCAGCTGATCGAGGCTGGCTATGAGTTGTACGGGGCGCTCGATGGGTATGAAGACTTTCGCGTCACTCCCGCCACTTTGGACCGAGAAATTTGGAAAGACACGCTGATGGCGCATTGCGAAGGCCGTGATTGTGGGTAGGTCCGCTGGTATTGAAGAGCTTTACTGACCACGAATAGGGGCGTGATCGACACGTGACTGCAGGTGGCCATAATGCGACTGGGAGTAAACATCCTCGCAGCTTACTGCAAGTGACTGGGTAAGCGCAATTGAACGGGCGTATGTTATATGTAGCGTGCAATCAACTACTTGTTCTCATAATCTCGACGGTCTACGCGTATGTATGCACCTTCCTTACATAAGCGCCGCTATTCGAAAAAGGCAGTCGCGGTGACTACCTCCAACGTCGATGTAGGCTCCAGACCTGTTCAGCTTATCATACCAGAAAACCATCGACCCCAATAGTCTTGGTGCGCGATGAGGAAAGCTGACAGCAATACTGGAGTGAATGTCAGCGAAAGCCCATCGGCTTCTCAATGGAATCTTCTCACCTAGAAGCGTGACGATTGTCGCAATACCCAATGCATGAATAGAGCGGGGTTTGGCGGCCTTGAGTTGGGGTGTATCGACGTCTGCTTTGGTTTCGACGGGCAGACAAGACGCTGTAACGCCGCCTTCATCTCGAATCTCGGCGGCACTGTCGATCCTTTGAAGCCGCCTAGACACTGTATCGGAAGCTGGGGTGCCGTCGGATGAGCTTTCCTCAGAGGCTTCCTGGGCCGTGGCGACCAGGTCCACGGCTTGTTCTTTCCTTTCCATTGCCTCACGCTCCTGTTCTAGCAATCCAAGAATTTCTCGCTCGTTCTCGAGATGCCATAACTTCACCAGCTGCTCCATTGAGGCGTTGCCGCCGAATTGATTGTCAAGAGTATAGCAAGTCGTTCCAGGTTCAAACTGCATGAAACTCATACTCGCTACCGTCTTGCCTTGTACTTTCACATTCATAATTGTATATTCCCATCCTCCGGCCTCCCCCCGTCCCCCAAAACGCATTTCCGTTCTGTGGATAACGTTCCTCTCGTACTTCTCCAAAAATAGGACGATGAGCTGACCTATAGTACGAGACCATAAGGGATCATTGTGGCGTAGGGATGTAGAACAAAGTTGGACAAAATTGGCCCACAAGAAGCGTGTAACAGGAGATTCGCGTTCGTTCAAGAGTTTTCCAAAGCAGGCCACGATTCCCTCAAGCTCTTCAGCTTTCTCGGTCGTGTCCAGCCTACGCATCAAACAGTGTAGGACGATGCCACGTGTCTGATCAGATAGCGGTGGTTCGTCATGCCTTGTAATCCGCCAAAGTATATATGAAGTGTTACCATGCCAGGCCAAGATAGAAGCTGGAGCTTTGGGTCGGATAGGACGCATACGGCCTTTCGAGTCTTTAACGTCTGTTCCTCTAATGCACACAACACAGTGATTGTGTGCAGTCTGAACGCATTGCTCGGCGGGAGGTAGCTCGTTCTCCAGCCAACCCGGAAATTTTCGTGAGATCAAATGCTCCAGCTGCACAATGAAGTCAAACTGCGACCTATCTTTTCCAGAATGAAACCGTAGCTCGATGATTTTACTGTATAGGTATGTCCAGTACAGCGGGTTGATAAGAGAAGAAGGTATGCGTTGGAATTCTGCCAAATGCGACTGGGAGATGGCTTCAATCGCATCGAACTCGCCCAATTCGTGCTTCGGGATTGCTGATTCTTCAAGAAACTCGATGACAGTGCGATGTACGAACAGGATGCATCTCGACCCAGCGGGTTTAGAAGGGTCGGGCTCAGGTATGGGGTTCGCGGACCCCCCTTCTTGCTTGCAGACTTCAGGGTTGACTCGATCCTCGACCAGTCCTCTACAATACCCATGTAGTTGTCTCCGAGCTCGATTTTCATGCTCTTTGTACCATTTGTGTGGGTCTTGTCCGTCTTGGTAGTCCAGGACAGGCAATATAGAAGGCTCCTCCACCGATGATCGTGCGTTCAATTCATTTGTATCAAGGTGTAGACAGGACAGCAGCGATAGTTTGATCGGCAATGTCTCGTGTTTTAGCACCATAGCAAAGATTCGGTGCGCTCTTTCCCTACGCAATGGGGAGATAGAGTCGAGAAGATGATTGAACAGCTCCTTCAACTCAGTAGGCAGTGTAGCCAACTCCCTCTCAAAAACCGAGGCATCATCACCGTCTTCCAACGCTTGTCGGAGCTGTTTGGTGACGAGTACAACCCAGAAGAAGATGCCATCTGATTTCTTGACAATCTCACTTGTAAGACGTTCTCGGGTGTTGTGGTCTTGCACAGATTCGAGCCTAGAACGTACAAAACACTCCATGTCGTGCCTGGTGAGATCTTGTAATCGTATCCTTGGATCTCCAGCAAAAGCGTTCTCAAACACATTCTCTTCCCGGCTGGATACGCATAGCTTGATGGAGTCTGGAGAAATCTGTGTCCACTTGCGGAGTGTGTCGACCATGTATTTCTGATCATATTGGGTTATGTCCTCGTACTCATCCAAAGCGTCGATGAAGAAACAGAATCGATATGATTGTTGAACGGTTTCATCCCTTAGGAGGGCCATGAAGCCATCGCGAATTTCATTCGAGGAGAGACTATGTGGTAGCTCCATCCGACCGTCTTCGATGCTCATCCTATGTTCCCAAATGTCTGGGAATGCCTTCTTCGTCAACTCCTGGTGGGATGACAGCAGTTGATAAAGTGACGATCTCTCCAATCCGCTGAGTGACTTTTGTAAATTCAGCTTCGCGGGTTTCCAGAAGAAGTGGCTTGCCATCACCAGCGTTTTGTTATCTGTGGTTGTCAATGGATACGTTACACGTCAGAGAAGAACAACGTACCTGCCCACGCCAACAGATGTTTACGTGTTTCCGGATGCTTGTACAGGAATTTCATGAGTGTGGATTTGCCCGACCCCAGCTTTCCCGCGATATGGAAGATTCCACAAGCATGATGTAGCCATGAAAGGTATAGTTCGCGAGCGTTAGTCTTCAATGTAACGTCGTCGACGTCTGCATCTTGCTCCACAATCCATCGAAAGGTTTCGCTGTGCTCTTTCGCGATGACATCAACTCTGGCCTCCATTCCTTCAAACGCAAGATCATTGAGGAAACTCCGAGCTACGACCGATTCTTGAGCTACTTCAGTCAATCCAAGTAGGTCTTTCAACTGATCTAGGGCTTCAACACCCAAGGAAGCAACACATGTGCCGCGGCGAATACGCTCGATCTGTTGCGGTAACGTTTGCAAGATTGCTTGGTTTGATTGCGCAAGATTTCCGAGGGCCTGGAGCTGCGCATGTACTTCCGAACTATTCCCGTATCAGAGAATGGGCCAAGAGCGAAGTTCTGACATTGACTAACCTGTTTAACTTGCTGAATTGCAGATGCAGCTGGCTACGGCATCTAGCTAGTTTGTTCTCAAGTTCTCTTTTGTCGTCCTTGTACTTGATATTCTTGAACGCAGATCGCATATAACGAAGGGTTGAGTTCGGCTTGCTAGGGGCAATTTTCCTCAAGAGGCGGAGAATCTGATCTGACAGCTCACGGCATTCTTGAGCCAACAGACGGAGGTCTTCTTCATCTTGGGTGCGTGCGTGCGTTTTGGGGGGCTCCAGTCTCGAAGTTAGATCGCGCATCTGAATGGTGACTTCCTCCAGGCTCTTATTCTCCAACGTCATGCCGCTAACAGAGTTGCGCATTTCCTTCGCAGAGCCGACAAGCTTCGCGCCGAGGTCGACAAACTGAATGACATTGGCGATCAAGCCAATAGCTGTTAGGGCTTCCATGCTGGGTGCTGCGCGAAGGCCGAGATGGCAAGTCGTGCGTGGATTCGAAATACTTGAGATGGGAGACGGAAGGTGCGCAAGACAACCCCTCATTGCACCACCCATAGCGAGGCTGTGCCGCAATCATGCAGTCGTCCAATGTGAGCGCGTCGATCAGCGCTGCCGTCCAATCTATGCACGGTAATGCAGGCTGTGTGCGAGAAACCTGTATGGTGACGCATACGAAAAGTGGGCTGGAGTGGAGTGGACAGGGTGGAAAGTGAGTGGACAGCGAGTGCAGGCCGCATATAGAACGGGAAGGTACCACCCACTACGCTGCACCTTTGTCGAGGGAAACAGCCGGACACCCACCACGACCCTGGAGATGATAAGAAGGGTAAGTAACCTAGATGTCTACGTTACCCTGAGCTTTCTCGGCGTTCCAATTTGGTGGCCAATGTTGACTGCGGCGCACCTGTTTAGTCCCTTCCTTGTGTAAGTGCTCGCGTGGGGTCGCAACATCACTGTGCTCTTCTGCCTGCGAGCTGCCGCGAAACATCACCAGGGATGATCAGTTCTCGACTGAAAGACATGAGGAAAAAGTCCCTCTGGTTCGTTACGGGCCGTTCCTTGCGCATGTACATGATCTACACGATCTACACGTCTCCAAATTCCTCACCTGTGGTATCTTCGTGAGCAAGATCTCCTCATGCACACGGTCTCCCGATGAACATGGTATCCTCCTGAGCACGATCAGGTAGCCGGCGGCGTAACCAGCCCATCGCACTCCTTCGCTTCCACCTGGGTATCATCCTCCTTCTCTATCCGTCTCGACTTCGCACCGATCGCACCGCCAGGGTGATTCGTTCTAAACACAGCCTTCGTCTCATCTTGATGAAGCGCCTCTGCGACGGTCAACGCCAGCATATCTCCCACCGCAATGGTGACAGTGGTGCTGGTCGTCGGCGCGCAGACGCCAAACGAGACTTCCTCCAACTCATGTATGGGCGCAGGCAACAGTATGGAGTTCGGCCGGTCGTCGAGGAGCGGACAGTCTGAGGGTTTGGTATGCGATGTGATGGCGAGGATGGGCGTATGGGAAGGAATGTGTTCGAGGAGGGCCATGAGCTCTGCTGTCTTGCCAGAGTAGGATATGAACATGATTGCGTCGTTCTACTTCTAGTCAGTACGTTTCTCGTCTTTGGGGCTTTGGAATGAAACTCACCTTCCTGATGTCGCCGAGATCCCCGTGCAGTGCTTCAGCAGCATGCATGAAGGAGCTCGCTATGCCCAGACTCTTCATTGTCGCGACCATCTTGCGCCCCACCAAGCCGCTTTTGCCCACTCCGCATATTATGAGTTTACCGCCAGTCTGGCTGGTCTTCGTAATGACTTCGACAGCCTGGAGGAGACCATCGCGCGCCACATGGTCGGACTCGTATAGAAAAGTGACCTGCGAGAGCGCGGTGGCAGCAGTCGAAAGAACGTGGACAGCGCGCGAGAGCAGACGCGATCCTTCAGAGTCGCTTGCGGCTAACGGCGGGGTAAGAGGTTGGGTATCAGAACCCGCTCGTTTTCTCTTCAGTGATGCTGGCGGGGACGATGTGCGTGATAGTGGAGAGGTCTCAAATGTCGCGGTCATGTTGGTGTGAAATGTGGAAGATCGGCGGACGTGACGTGAACGCAGGGTCAACTGCAGCTGTATATCAACAAGGCCCTGGCGATCTATGCGACAGGTCTACACATGCGCGATCTAGATTAGTCTTCCTCGGGCAGCATCGGAGGCGGATCCCAGTTTAGTAGGCGTAATACACTTATCGATGTAGCAGCGCGACGCGACACAACCACCAGACGGAGTTGCAACAAGCCCTGGAGGGCCTGACAACCCCTCCATGATGACAATTCATCGCATGCCGGCTCGAAACAGGCTTCAGGCGACGTCCGCTTACTCGGAACATACCAGAAGGCCGAGGGCGCGAGCCAGACCAGTAGTCTATGGTGATAAAGAAAAATGGATGGCGATATCTACGCTAGAGATGACATGCATGCAGCATGGGCCCGCGACTAGTCCGGAAGCAAAGATAGCCGTTGTCATCAGTCGAGACCAACCATCAAACCACGTTTCTGTCACTGTAGCGTCTGATCGCGAGGAATAGTCGTCCATGTTTAAGGTAGGGAACTGCATACGTGCGTAGACGGCAAACCGCTAGGTCCCGCTATGCTGAGGGCGGAGCGCCCGCTGCTTCGGTGAGTTTTGCCCGCCGAGCCCCCATACAAACCAGCCCCTCCTCCACCCCGTCAAGCTTTGTCATGCCCAATTCCTTTCTGTAGAGCGCTTGCGCTTGCTCGCCGCCGGTCAAGAGGACCATCCACCGGAGGTTTTGCATTCCGGCGCAGATCTCGCGACAGCATGCGATAAGCCATTTGCCGAGTCCTTGGCCCTGGTGTTCGGGCACGAGGTAGACGTCTGTGAGGTAGGCGAGTGTTGTGTAGTCGGTAATGAAGCGCGCCATGCCAATAGGCTTCTTGACGCCATCCGAGACAGAGTACACGCCGAGAGTGAGGCTGTTGTCAAGCATGGTGGACAGGTCCGTGAAGGAGAGCGGTTTCGCCCAAAACATTGCGTCTGTTGCGTAGGCTTCCTGGACAAAGGTGTACGGAAGGAGCGACCGGTCGGAAGATATGAGGTAGGTGCCCGAGGCGACAGTGCGCTCCCATTGGAAGATTTTTGAGTCCATCTTGTGCTTGGATTGACGACTCAGAGTGTGTGGTTGAAGATGTTGGCGTGCAGCTTCCCAATATACCTTCTGAGTCAACAGGTCCTACGTTCGGAGATATTCGCGACCCCTCGCGCCCTAGACGCCGACATCACCCAACCACCGTGCGACAACGCGACGACTTTACCTCCACCTTTGGCACCAAACCTGGAACATATGGCATGCGCGAATGGATGCTACGATGCGAGCCTGCCCGGAGTACCAAACCGCAGTCTGAGTCAAAGGCGTACTCTACTCATTCTGATGCAGAGGCGAGGAACTAGTCACCGCTACTGCCTAATTCACATGGCTGCACATTGTGAGGAAGGTGCATACACGCGCGCACATCGTGAAAATCAAGGGCATGAGTAGTTGCGTGTAGGCTACATATTGAGTACGCCAGCTCCGCCGCACTCACACACGACTCCTAGCGACCTCACTGCATCTTCCGTATCGCGAAGATGATATCAACAGTCACGTGACACCCACTAGGCAGGGTCACATATAGCTTCGACGATACGCTCAAGAAGCGAATCTGCAGCATTCCACATATTCGCAACAGCATTGGCGAACGGCTTTGTACTCCACCGCGGATTGTTGTGATGCTTTGAGATCGATCGAGTCTTTGTTATCCTCAGTATGATAGTCGATGGAAGAAAGGAGCAAAGAAGGAGGGTGATTGTCCGCCAAAGACGCATAGTGAACAAAGACTTCAACATACATAGCAAGTGAGCGAGAATCTTGTTCGTCGCAAGAGCATGCTTCTCGTATAGCGCATCTAAATCTTTCTCTATAGCAACGATCATCACCTTATCTTACACCCATCATGGCAGACGAACAATCCCCCATTGCAGGATTCTCGCACCAGGAGAAGAGCGGTTTCCTCCGTGTTACTCCTACGTCAGATAAACCAGCGGATAAAACACAGCCAACCAGTGCACAACCCCCACCGCCATCGAAAACCGGGAAAAGACCATTCGGGGGCGGTGAAATACTCGGAGAGCCTCTCATAAAACGATCCCGGGTGGATGAGAACGATGAAGCAAGGCGTTCCAAAGAGCGCAGACCAAGAGAACTAGACCCAGCGATGCTAACCAAGCACTTCACCATGGCCAACAAGAAAGAGATTGAAGAAGTAAAAGCACGCATCGCAACTGCAACGCCATCGAATCCAACGGGCATCCCGCCTCGCTCCACCCGTCACACAGAGCCCGTGCCACTATCGATGACAACTGGGAAACCGATAGTATCAAAGTCATTGCGCGACGCGCCTCCACTTCCAAGAGACACGCCGTCCAAAGAACGGCGAGATGCCATGGCACCACCTAGAGAAAACACATCAAAGTCCCGTCAAGATCCTTCCGCTTACCACCAAAAAAGAATGGATGGCGCACATCGCGACACACCCACACCAACACCAGGCACAAAAGCCAACCCCATATCCTTCAGTTCCGGTCTGCATGCACTAGACCGCGAGTTCCGCTCAGGATCAGGCTATTACCCTTCGCAGCAAGACGACGACGAACTCTCTCTTCTCTCATACTTATCCTTGAGTGAAGGCCCGCGGGGTCCTAGTGCACGACGGGGCCTCGGACAGGATGGTGCAGAGAAACGCTATGGCAAAGACTGTGACCACTACCAGCCAGCCCGCCGTACCACAAGGTCTGAAGAGAGGAGGCGGCGGAGGGGTCTCACTAGCGGGGAATTGGAGAGGATGGCGAGGAGACACCGGACGATGGGGATGGGGGGGAGTTGTGATGTTTCTCCTCGATCGGGGGATGGGAGTCGTAGTCGCAGTCGGAGTAGGGACAGGAGTAGGAGTCGGTCGAGGTCGTTGGTGAAGAGGGATGATAGGTACAGAGGAGAAGGAGATCGTGTGGAAAAGCCACGGGGACGCTCTGCAAGGCTTGACCGCGCTTCATCGCGACGGCCCCCAGCGGTGTCGCAACGGCCGCGTGAACAAATTCCACCACCTTCTGGGCAGGTGAGGAGGGAGGAGGGGGTGAGGAGTAGAGGGGTGAGAAAGAGTCGAGAGCGGAGCCGTGGCGCAGACCGGCAGCGTAGTCGAGGGCGGGAAAGAAGTCCAGAGCGAAAGCGAAGTAAACAGCGTCGTCGCAGCTCTTCACATGGCCGTGGTAAAGATCGCCGGCATAGTCGAGACCGTCGAGACCGTCACCCCAGTCCTCACCATCACCACAAAAAACGCCGCAACCGCAGTTGCAGCCACAGTCCCAAACCCTCCCAACCCTCCAAACAACCCCGTTCAGATCCCCCACACCCACCACCATCACCCCCATCCCCCTCCGACTCCTTCTTCGGCGCGGATGAAATACCCGAACCGCATGAGAGTCTCGGTGTGGCCGAAGGCGAATACACACAAGAGCAGGAAATGGCGTTGTTTGATCTTGCGGTCACTGTGTATGTGCAGAGAGAGAGGGTGGCGGAGCTCATGTTGAATCGGACGAGGTTGCAGTTTGATTTGGATAATAGGAAGAAGAGAGAGGAGGGGGAGAAGGGTGGGGATGGAGATGGTGATGGGGATGAGGGGGAAGGGGATGAAGGGAAGGATGGGGATGGGGATGGGGATGGGAATGGCGGCGGTGACGAGGAAAGGGAGAAGCATGGAGGGGATGGAGCTGAGAAGGGTAGTAAGGAGGGGAGTAGTAGAGAGAGGGGTAGTAAGGAGAAGGACGGTGGAGGGAGCAAGGAACGTTCATAATATTAACTCCTTGTGCGCTTGCGGCGTTGGCTAGGTACATGTGTGTTAATGGCTTTGTATCGCTAGACCAGACGGAATCGAGCCTTGGTCGGGTATAATCGTTGACAAGACGTGTATAATTCCTCTACATACCTTTATCACCCATTGCACCTCATCTCTTATTCGCCCAAGGCGCCTTCGTGCCCTCTTGTACACTTGACGCATTTCCAGCATTCCCCTTTGCCCAGGGTGCTGCAGTACCACTTCCTGGCGGCGGCGGTGCAGGTGTCCTACTTGCCCAAGGCGCTTTGGTAGGCTGGTTCGGACCACTCGGTACACCTGCATCTGCACCTCTGGCAGTATTCCAGGGCGCAGCAGTCGCAGCAGGCATGCCACCACTCGGCCTTGTAATACCAGCACTAGCCCATGGCGCCGCGGTCCCAACCGTACCGCCAGGCATGCTTCTAATTGGCATGCCAGTCGCTGGCTCAGCCATCGGGTCTCTCAATGCAGGCTGCGGTCTTGCAGTTGGTGCCGTGTTAGATGGGGTGCTCGATTTTGGCTGACTAGCTGTGTGGACGCTTGCTTGAATGGCCTTGGCGTTCGGGTCTGCAGAGAAGGAGAAGAGGGAGCCGAAGGGGAAGTGCTGGACGACAGGAAATTTCGAGAGGACTTCTGCGTTGTACATCTTGATCATTCCCTGATGTGGGGTCAGTCAATGCACGTAATCAAGAGTGTCATGATATTAACCTTGTTGATCTTGGCCCATCCTGCCTTGACACCGGAGACATCGTAGAGAATGTTGCTATGTTCCCAGAATGGACCTTTCTTGACGTCATAGATGAAGCCGATGGCACTGAAGTACATATTCCGGTTTCGCTCGCGGGCGACTGCTGGTGCTTTTGCTACATCGCCTGGGTGGGGAGCGGATGGCAATGAGCCTTCTGCTGCCACGTCTGCGGGTGTGTTGATGGCTGGTGAGAGTTGTGCGCTACCAAATATGTAAGGTACGAAAGAATGATCGTCCAGTCCCCATACGCCATGCGACCCGGCAGGTTCAAGGGTGTATGTCAAGATGAGTCGGCGAATCAATTCGAGGTACGGTTCGATGACCCCAAGTACAATGCCGCGTTCTTGCTCGCCATCCTGCGACGCGGGAAAAGCTCCGAGTTTCCAGAGACAGCCGAGGAAAGCGAGAAAGCTTAGTTCATGACCTGAACCGTAGTCTAGGCGCTGAGAGCTTCCAAAACTGCCGATAAGATACGCTTCCAACTCGATTTTGGCTGAGACGTCGGATGAGGATTTGAAGGACAGCACTTCTTCCGGCAGATACTGATCCAACAGTCCAGGGACTCGTTCTCTGACGATATCATACCACGTCCTGAAGCTTACGTTTCCGAAACGACGCGGTCCGGGATCTGGTGGCGCTTCATCCATTATCGATTGAAGGGTAGAGATAAGCTTGGCGAGGCTTTGCACAACGGGTGGATGGGGCACATCCGGGTCATGCAACTTCCACTCTTTCGCCGTTTCTGTGCTGTTCTTATCTTCGCTCTTGATTTTCCGTGGTATCATGGCCGTGTTGAGCTGGAAGATGAAAGTCATGATATCGGCATAGGCTCTGCTTGCCAAGAAGAAAGTGACGTCGTCGCCATCGTGGATGCGTTTCGCGGGGACTTGGAAACTGTGCGACGCATATCTACTCAGTACTTCTAGTACAGGTGCTTTGGACGGATTTGATGACATGGCGGAGTGTCTGATGTGGTGGTTGTTTGGGGGTTAGTGGGCAGGGACGATCTCATGTGATAGCGTGTTTCGGGGATGGACCCACTCTTTCGCGCCTTGACAACGTTGGATGCTTTTGGCCGCGGGGATGACTTCACTCTCCCCCCACATCGCCGTCATCGCTCGGATACCTTCATCAGGACCGATGCGCTAGTACTATTGACGCTCACTATATGGCGCGGCTTAAGGATGCGCCCAAGCAGGCAGGTACGTCGTGTCGCAGCTGCCCTTGAGCTGGCGGGTAGACGCGCGAAGCTCTCCAACATGCCCACCAGCTTTCATCCAAGCTTATATAAGCTGACACTCATACTACAGGTCCCAAGCCTTCCACGCCCTCCTCAGACGACAATGCTGCAACCCAACAGCTCCTCACAGAGTCCAACTCTCCAAGCGCAAACCCACCCTCATCGTCCGCAGTCCTTGGCGCCAACCTCCTCAACGCAGCGCGTCCTGGGAAGCTCAAGAGAGTCAGCATACTTCCCGAGGGAGCCAGACAGAATCTCGCGATAAGAGGAGATCCGTACGAGATCGAGCTGAGCCCCGAGAAGGGTCGATACGCGTTGCCAGAGAAAGTCAATCACAAACCGTTGAAGATCAATAGAAAGAAGAAAGAGAAAAAGAAGCCAGCCAAGAAGGAGGTGCAGGCCACTGTGGAGACAATCGAGGAGCGTAGTGACGTTCCTGCGCCTTCGTCAGAGCTCCCGGTGCACCATGACGCTGGGCCTCAAGTGGATGAAGATGAGCGGGTGGAGGATTTGGCAGTAGCAGAACCCGAGATACGTTCCTCCCCGCCGGAGCTCGCACCACCGGGGCACACCCCATCTAAAGCCGCCCCGCCCATACGCGATAACGGTCTGGTCGATCCCACTGGTACGACAAGCCTAGATGGAGAACCTGCTGGTGCGCAGGACGACAATAGCAGTACACGGCGAACGTCGAAACGGAAATCAGAGTCGGATCACAGCGAAGAACAGCCCTCCAAGATTCCGAGGAAGCAAAGGCGGACGACTGGCGAATCGAGCGCATCGAAAAAGAGTCACCCACAAGTACGCATACCGGTCCGGCGCAGCTCGCAACAACAGGATGTGGCGACTGCGACCGGACATGACGATGTTCAAAGTACGCAAGAAGGCGCCGAATGTCATGGATCGAACCCCAGGTGCCTTTACACCGAACGGACTTACGCGCAGAGAGAGGAGGATCTCCTAAAACTCATAAAAGGTCCTGCACGACAATTGAAACCTCGGAAGAAACGCACCAACGATACCAATGAGTCAAGCCAGCAGTTACCGGCTAGCGTGAGAGGACTGCAAAAGCACGCAGAGCCGGCCAAGCAAGCTCCGGAAATTACTGATGTTCCAGAGACTGATCACGCGCCTGTTATTGACGCGTTTGGGGAAGTTTCAGACGGAGACGACGCTAGTAGCATCGCTGAGGAAGCTGATGACATAACGCGCCCTGCAGGAAGGCCTGGGAGCATCGACGCCGTCTTTGAATTCCTCAACCTAGAGGTACGGCCAGGAAAGTGCCGGACCAAGCTGGCTACCACTATCAGACGCGCATGCAAGACATACAGAGCCCACCTTCAGGAAGGTGACCTTTCCATGGACACTGTGGTCGATGAAGCCGACGATTTACGAGGAGCGCTCGGACAGATCAGTATCGATGTCCAAAAGAAGGACCAGCGCGCCTTCAAACGAGATGCTTATCGTCATGTCTTCCGGGCTCTTACACTGTATCTCGAAGCATTGTACACATGGCTACAGGACAATGGCGGTGAAGTGACCGATTCTCTGGAGGCTATGAGGATTTTGTCACCCCTGATGAACCGGATATTGGCTATCAAAGACACCATTACAGAGTGGAATGTCTCCGTGCCTCAACGCTCCAAGGGCGACCGAATCATCAAGGATGTTGATATTGGTCTCATCGCTCATCTTCGACAGGTTGCCAAGACATATCGCGGACATCTTAGTAGACTCGAAGCTAAGGAGGACTATCGCAAGATCCAAGAAGACTTCGAGCGCAGGATGCAGGAAAGAGAAGAGGAGGAGAACCGCAAAGCCGAGCTTGAGGAAGCGCGAACGCAGCGGTGGAAACATTGGCAGGCTCTACACATTGTGCGCTTGACGTGCGAGCCCGATGCGCGCAGAAGGAGTAAGCTGGCTATCACAAGGCTCGAGGACCTGGAGGAGAGAGACGCGAACGGTGTTATCTTCGAACGATTGCCGGTTTTCACGCCTCGCTCTGCGCCGCCACATCGTCAAGCATCGGCGTTGAGCAATAAGCCGGAGTGGACCGAACAGGAAGAGACTGCTCTGCTCGAAGGTTTGAGACATCTTGCCGGTACGTTGGAAGTCATTGTTCACAGCTTATCTCCATCACACTGACATGTACTCCAGGTTCTCAAGTCTTCGAGAAGATATTCACGACGTATTGCCGGCCCGACTCATCTCATTCACTTAGCGGCCATTTGCGCGATCGCAGCGTCGCAGAGATTGTTACAAAAGCAGCACAGTTCCGGTCAGACTTCCAAAAGTTATATCAAGATAACGGCTGGGAGATCGAGGAGTGGATTACGAAGATACCAGTATTGCCGTAAGTGCGGGTTACTTGGATGCTTTGATCCACTTCTGCTCCACACACGATCCTGCCCCTTTCCTGCTTGGCGAGAAGAGGCGTTTTATCAAGTTACGCTTTTTGTCGTTTGTCTCTTTATGATACCCCCTGTGTGCTACATTTCTTTGATAGCAACGCAAACGACATCATTAATGCCTATGTCTCCACCAGCCCTGACAGTGGCCGTCCATCTACCAAATCCCCCTGTGCTCCATATTCAAAATTACCACACAATATAGCACCCAACAATATGGGATAAGTACAGTTCCCGCTGCATGTCTAGTGAAAGCCCGGATCTACCCTTACGCTCGTGGGGTACGTGGCCAGATCACTGGCCGTGAATGACAATTACGCGAGTGCTCAACCGCCCACCGGTAGACATAGACTTTGGTACTGGTAATCTGCCTCCACTTCTCCACTCGCTATCCCACCTATACACAAAGCGCAATATTCAACCTGGATCAGTTTTCACCTTGGAGTTCAGTGCACGCGCCCCTGCACCGCCCATAGTCGCAAAGTCGCTCTCTCACTTTAAATTCCTTGCACACCCTTTCTCCCTCCTGACTACTCAACCCGCCTCTCACTCTCAACTTACCGCGACCAACACCCAAGCTTGAATATTCTCCCAATTTCAAGTCAAAATTCCCGACGACAATACGCAATACTTACCACAACATCACCATCCCACAATGTCTCCTCCCCCTGCGGCTTCTCCCCCCTTCTCCCACGCAGCTAGCCTCGCCCACTACGAGACCAAGAACTCGTTCGAGCTCATGGTCATGGCGAAGTTGCGTTGCATTTCTGATGCGGGTGAGAACCAGGAGATTATCGCGCGGCTGATGGCGCAGGATAGGGAGAATGGGACTTGGCCTGGGAAGTACGAGGAGCCTGGGGCGGCTGATGCGACGAAGACAGATGGCGAAGCTGAGGAGATGAATGGGGAACAGGGGGTTGTGGTGCCGGTCGAGAGAGTCTTTGGGAAGGAAGAGAGGACGCCTGAGGCTGGAGTTGGGGGTGCGGGAAGGGCGGATCACGTGCCTGTTGCGATTGTCTCCGGAGATAGACGCGCGAGGACTGCGACTGCGGGCATCACTGCGACTAGCACGAGGAGCAGAAGCCCGATAATCCCCCTGTCACAATTGGCAAAAGAATGGGATCAGGATTGGGGCGCACCTTTCGCTTTTCCCCTCGCCGCTACCACCGGCTCGAAACCCCAAGCCAAACCCGTGACTCCATCCGAGTCTGTCTCCAGTGGCTCAAAGTCACCCGCCACTCCCACCTCTCCCACCTCCCCCGTCTCACAAGCCTCTCGCGTGTCCCTGGCAACTCCTGCCTCGTCCCCTCCAACCATCCCGGCTTCGTTGAAGTCGAATCCGTATAACCTTCTCATGAGCGATGAGCAGGACGATGAAGAAAAAGAGGACGAAGAAGAAGAAGAAGAAGAAGAAGAAGAAGAAGAAGAAGAAGAAGAAGAAGAGGAGAGCGAGAACGAGGGGCTCATCATCCCCCTGAAGATGTACACGGAGAAGGCCAGGGCTGCCGCCGAGTCTACAAGGGCTGAGGTCACGTATGCGGCGACGTTCAGTAAGGATACTGCCGCCGCTCCTACGGAACAGACTGAGAATCTCCCGGCTCCCGATTCGTTGGCCAGTTCTGAGCCGTCTGAGGTTATGTCGGCGCCTGGGGTTGGCGTGCTTCCTGAGGCTCCTGTTGTTGTCAAAAACTTTGGTGCTATGGTTTCGAATTCGCCCTCGTCATCGCGGTCACTCGAAGAAGCAGCCCACAAGTCCGACGTAGCTGCCTTCTACAACATGCCTCCCCTCTCGCCCGTTCAGCCAGCGACATCAACGAAGAACACGCCCGTACAGGTCTTCGTGAGCGCTCCTCCATCGCCGCCGTCATCGCCACCACAGCAAACTCACATCGTTCCGCCGTCTCCCGCGCCCACCAAAAAGACTCACCAGCCGCGTAACGAGAAGCGCAAACAAGACCAGGCTGTTGTGTCGTCGAATATGTGGGACGTGCTGGCCGCTGACGATACCGGTGATGGCGATGACACCGCTTCTACTCCTGTTGCTGTTGACACTGATGACAATAACGAGGTTGATAGTGAGGACGAGGCCCCACAAGCTCGGCAGGCGCAAAAGAAGAAGAACAGGAGGCGCGGAAAGAAAGGTGGAAAGAAGGTGCAGGCGATGAAGCAGAAGGTGGAGCAGGCTGGGGAGGTTCCTGTTGTTGTTGCGCCTGTTCTCCAGCAGTCGGTCTCGATGACGGCGAAGGTGGGGAAGAAGATGGAGATGTCGCAGGCGCTGGGTGTCGCGGCTATTGTTATGGTTCTTGTTGCGCTTTTGGGGGTGCGGGTTGTTGGGTAGACGATTGCACGACATTTCTTGTGAATTTTAGCGGCATTGTTTGGAGTATTGGGGTCTTTACCAAGACACGGTACTTTGCGACGTATTCTGGGGTTCTGGTTGTGTTAGCATAGTAATTTCAGACACTCCTCATGATAGTTTGTGTGCGCTTTGTTGCTACGAGCGGCTTCACGCCACTTCATCAGAGTCGAATCAAAATCGGAACTCATCATCCAACTCCTACCGCTCCGCATGGTGAGCTCCTAGAACTGTGTCTCGAGGCTTCTGTGAATGCGAACGCGAACATGTACTTGCGTCGAATGCGACGGAATGGAAGTAAGAAGCCCATCACCGTATCCACCTGGGCGGTGTAAGCTTAATCAAGCGCGCGTAGCCAGGAAATCCTGTCTCGTGTTGCGCGAATAATCAGAAAAGGGTGAGGATTCTAAACGTAAAGTCTTCCGTTCCTGGACTCGCCTTGGACGACATGGCTACGGCTGAATGGAATGCATTAGCACCGCACGTCGTGGGCCTTTTGCGGTCATTTGAACTGCCGTGGACACCCTCAAGGCCGTCACCAAGCAGTCATCCCACACGTTCCGCAAGCCATCGCGAGCTACGCGCGACAACGCCTGCATCACGACCAGCAAAGCCCACGAGTATACCATGCGAAATAACACCCCCACCGTGCAAGCGATCGCGCACCTGCATACACGTAAATCAACCAACCAATAACAAGCTTTCACGCAGCGGGAGGGGTCTGCGCTAGTCCGCAGCCAGAAGCTTGTAGGCAAAGCACCGCCTTCCCACAACCACGACATCATCACAATGCGCGAATTATCCCCCCCTTGGCGCACGCCGGCGAAGCAAGTAAAATGTAGCCCATTCTACTTTCACGTGCGGTTTCGTCGCCGCAATAGGCAAAACCAGGCCCACGATGGCAGTGGCTGAGCAACACCGCTGATCGCGAGATAAATCCCTCATACAATTATTTCGCTGGGCCTTTGTACCCAGGCCGTATTGCGCTGTAGCTCACGTGTTTTCTGGGTGATTCTGCATTCCTCTTCTTCTCCTTCTTATTCCATTCCCAATACACTGGTAGTTTTCTGTACTCTGGACCTTGAACACGAAAGAGTTATTTTCTTCCTTTCGCTTACTTCGCCCTTGCGCTTTCGTTGCGTTGCTGCACGTAGCGATAATCCCTCAGTGTGTCACTGCGGATTGAGCGCATAGCGACAAAGGCAATATGTGGAAGCCGCCAATCAACTTCATTACGCTGCATTGTAAGTTGCAGACGGTTCCGTCTAATCCGGGAACGGCGTGGCTAATGGGGTGTAGATGCATACATTCTCAGTTTCGGGATTCTGGCCCTGATCATCATCTATCCGTATGGCAATCTTTCGGCTATCGATGCGTACTACTTTGGTGTCAGCGCGTCGACTGAATCTGGCTTGAACCCGTATGTTTGGGTTGATGTACTGGGGTGGGTGCCGTGCTGACAGTGCGTTAGTGTTGATGTCAAGGCTCTCAAGACATATCAGCAGATCTTTGTTTACATCACGCCTATCGTTACAAATCTGGGCTTCATCAACGTACTCGTCGTCGTTGTGCGACTACGCTGGTTCAAGCAGAAGCTCAAGGGCATTGGTATGTTAGATGTCGCTCTAAGCCTGCAGCTGAAGCTAACCCTCAATAGCGGCGGCACACAGTAGACCCAAAAGCTTGCAGCTGTCTATGAGTCGGGCTCAAACAATCGACAATACCGCCGATACACGAAAGATCGAGGAGGGTCTCACCGGCGAGACCACAGTCTCGGAAAAGCAGCCTGTTGCCACTGCAGATGAGTCAAACGACCAACCGTCCGCTCCTGCTCCTCGCATCACATTCGCCCCAGATCCTCGACTTCATGTTAACGAAAAAGGCGCGTTGTATGTCCCTGGTCCGCGAGAACGTGATAATGGCGAACGCATCACTTCGATGTCAGATGGTAAGCTCGCCAGTTGGACTTCCGTGAGAACATGCCTAACGTTATCGCTATAGACGAAGACGAAGACGAAGATGAAGACCGCATCAAGCCTGTCGCAGAGTCGAGCAATCCACTGCGTCGCCTGCGGTCAGAGACAAGAAGTATGAACACGCGGACGATGAGCAAGGCTACCTCCGTAGACCGCGCTGTATCATCCATCTTCGTCCTTGGAAGTACCACAAGCGGCGCCCGTCGTAGCGAAGACAAGCCGGCACGCAGGACGCCTACCATCGACCTGAGCTCCATGACCCGGGAAGAGTTGGGTGGTGTTGAGTACCGCGCACTGCAAGTCTTGCTCAAGGTTACTATTGGTATGTATCGAGAGCGATGTATTTGGCTCGCTCATGCTGACTATTATTCCAGGATACTTCGTCGGCTTACACACGCTTGGAGT